TATTCTATTCTATTCTATTCTATTCTATTCTATTCTATTCTATTCTATTCTACTCTGAATTCTATTCTATTCTATTCTGAATTCAATTCTAATCTAATCTAATCTAATCTAATCTAATCTAATTCTATTTCTATTCTAAAACTCTCCCTTTGACTCTCTGGATTCCAGTCCTGAGTCTCAAACGCGACCATCCCTCATCTTTGAGGGAGTGTTTTGAGAAACACCTTCATTTTTCCATTCCCCTGGCTGAACCAACGCAGGTCTCTGCTCACCTCGGTCACATTCATAACCTTGATTGCCGCCAGCTGCCCTGTTTTCACGTGGCGACCCTGGGAGAAAAAAAAAGAGAGAGAGAGAAAGACAAAAAAAGACAAAGCCAATAAGAGCATCCCTAATGATAGCCAAGTACAAGCCAACACATCAAATCCATCATTTTGAAATGCATCACTATAAAACGGCCATTTGAAAGCCGCCTCCAGAGCGACGCGAACCATTTGCAAAGCACCTAATAGGAAATCGATATTCCGTCGTAAAGGCAATCTGGCATTGATGATGTAACATCGGAAGCCGTCCAGAGTTCCCCTCCTTGGTGAATAAATAAAATAAAATAAAATAAAATCTGCGACACAGGGACAGCAGGGTAATATGTAGGCTAGTAAGAGCCTCTTCTGTGCAAAGCCCTGGATTTCCAATCGGCGAACTGTTTTGCGCAACTAATCGATTGCACTCATCTGCTGAGGCTTGCTTTGTGTGCGTGTGTGTGTGTGTATGTGTGTGTGTGTTTAGTTTGCGAGTGAAGCCCTTTGGTACTTAAGGTTAAGTGATAAATGTTCATTTAAGGACTGGAGCACAGCGGTCTGAGAAAGGAAGCTAGGCAGGAGATTAGCAACAGAGGTGGGATTCAGCTGGTTCTGACCAGCTCTGGAGAACAGGTAGCAGAAATTCTGAGTAGTTCGGAGAACCGGCCAATCCCACCTCTGACTGGAGATTTTACGGTATCCTTCCCCTACCACGCCCACCAAGCCACACCCACAGAACCAGGAGTAAGAAAATTTGAATTCCACCACTGGTTAGCAAGCCTGCGTTTGAGACCTGAGAGCTGCCACAGGGGAAGGGTTGAGTTCCCATCCTTTGCTCCAGCTCCTGCCGGGGACACGAAAGGAGACCCATCCTTAATTCTAGAAACTAAATTCTTCTATTCTATTCTATTCTATTCTATTCTATTCTATTCTATTCTATTCTATTCTATTCTATTCTATTCTATTCCATTCCATTCCATTCCATTCCATTCTATTCCATATCTTCTATTCTATTCCATTCCATTCCATTCCATTCCATTCCATTCCATTCCATTCCATTCTATTCTATTCTATTTCTATTTCTATTTCTATTCCATTCCATTCCATTCCCCTCCGCTCTGCTCCTCTACTGTACTCTACTCTACTGTACTCTACTCTACTTTATTCTAAAATGATTTGGGATCCACAGAGATCTGTCTCAAATCTCTCACTCACACATCCAGATCAATGTTGTAAAACACTAGCTGTAGCTGCACTTCAGATTTGCCCTCAATTTACACCCAGCTGATGTCACGGTTGGAGTTCCTGTATCGGAAACCATTGTTTTCAACTGTTTCCAGGCATTGAAAGTTTCACAGGGCAGCGTGAATCCCTCCCAGACAAGCTGGCACCCTCATTTAAACCCCAAACATTGCCAGGAACGAAATATTCTTCTAACTTCCCTGGTCGATTAAATCAAGAACGATCCGATCGCTGGGAAATCTTTGCCCAAGTTAATTTATTGAAAGTCCTGGTCAGCTGCTAGCCGCAATAAAACTGGAATGAAAAAGCATGGGAATTAAGCGTTATCCATTGGCTACTAATGAAGTTACATTAACACTGATAGGAATAATTCTTGGGAAATTACTTTAATGCAGTGCAGAGGTCTATGGCTAATTCTGGTTAATTAATAATACCCAGAAGGGGTGGGGGGAAATGCGATAGTTTAATATATACACAGACATTACGAAAAAAGGGTGGGGGGAAAGCGGATTACATTTCAACAAGTGGTTGAATTTCATAAGGTTTACAAAATTTTTTCTATTGCTGGTTGATGACAGCTAATCAGGGAAGATTCATCATTTTCTCAATTTAATGAGTTCGTCTGCCATAAGGAATAGAGAAATGCCCTCAAGGGGGTTTAATTTCTAACAAAGACCTGTTCCTTTGGGTTTCATCATTCTGAAGAAAAAAAACTTTGCAGGGAATAAAACTTCAAAAATGAGCTTCCTGCCTGGAAAGGGGGAAAGGTTTGACCCTCAGTCTACAACAGCGGAGATCCCAACTGAATTTTCTACCTGGTGCCCCCAATGTCAGATATTACATCAAAGGTGCGTTAAATCTTCTGGACTGTCCTGCTTAAATCAGCCCAGGGGAGAAGTTAAGCCTCTTATTCCCATAAACGCCCACCAATAGCTAAATGACTGATATACTAGCAGCTGGAGAGAGACTTAATTCCTTAAGGGCTTCTAAAGAACATCTGGCTGAAGTCACCGAGAAGCAAGATATTAAACAAGGGCTTTTTAAAGCAAGATTCAGAATTGGGACGTCTTCCCTGAAGCCAGATTTAGAAGTTGGAAATGGTCCTTCGTATCGGTAGAAGACGGTTGAATGGATGATTGGAGTGTGGTGCTCTCTGAGCTTGGTGGTTTTCTTGTAGACGTTTCATGACCCAACTAGGTAACGTCATCAGTGCTAGCAGGACGCCTCCTGCTTGACCAAGGTTGGGCTACAAGACCCCTTTGCTCTAATCCACCAGGGTTTTGGCCTATCTGAATTCTTTCACACCAAATATCACAGATTTACAGACATTTAGGGAGCTTTGGTGGCGCAGTTGGTTAGAATGTAGCACTGCAGGCTAATTCTGCCCATTGCCAGCAGTTCGATCCTGACTGGCTCAAGGTTGACATAGCCTTCCATCCTTCCAAGGTCAGTAAAATGAGGACCCAGATTGTTGGGGGCAATAGGCTGACTCTGTAAACTGTTTAGAGAGTGCTATATAAAGCACTGTGAAGCGGTGTATAAGTCTAACTGCTATTGCTAACTCTACCCACTGCCAGGAGTTCGATTCTCACCAGTTCAAGGTTGACTCAGCCTTCCATCCTTCCAAGATCGGTAAAATGAGGACCCAGATTGTTGGATGCAATAATATGACTCTGTAAACCGCTTAGTGGGAGCTGTAAAGCACTGTGAAGCGGTATATAAGTCTAAGTGCTATGGCTATTTTCCTTCCTTCCTTCCTTCCTTCCTTCCTTCCTTCCTTCCTCCCTCCCTCCCTCCCTCCCTCCCTCCCTTCCCTTCCCTTCCCTTCCCTTCCCTTCCTATCCATCCCAACGCAAGGTTGACTCAGCCTTCCATCCTTCCGAGGTTGGCCTACTTCTCACCAGAAGAAATGGGTCAGGTCTTTCCCACAAACACTGCAGCCAGGATGCAAACCTCCCAATGCTTCTGTGTCAACAGCCTGCAACCACCTGCCATTTTATAGGTCAGTTCACATCCATTTAGGTGAGGCAGGAATTAGCCTGGACACCGGAACATCTGATGAAGCTCAGACAGACATGGAACGAGTGAGTAACTGCTTGCAAATAAATCAAAGCAAGGGAAGAGTCTAACTTTTAAGGATGCCACATTTATTGTAGGAGAATACAGGAAGGAGTGATTTCCCCAAAGCCTTCGGGTTTTCCTGTAGCTCTACATCTGAACCTAGGTCAGTAAAGGAAGACTCTTTTTTTTTTTAAACAACGACAACAAAATCAAAGAGTCTGTAAGCAGTTGGCAACGCTTATCTAGAGGAAACAGTCAACAGATTGGAAGCTCAGCACCATAATAGAATTATTAGTATTTTTTTCTTCCAGCCTGTGTTGGTTATAACAGCTTTTTTTTTTCTCTCTTTCAGCATTTCCTGATAAGTGGTTCTTAAATTTAGCATGCTAACTTTTCTCCCTTTCAAGCTTCCAGGTGATTGATAGACTTTCCATCCTTCCTAATTTAACAAAGCCAGAATTTAGTTATTGTATTTATTTATTTTGTCAAGCGATTATTAGCTAACAGGTATAAGTATAAACATGGTTATAAATACATGAAATGGATACGAATAAGAAAAAAAAAAGGAACAATAGGACAGGGACGGTTGGTGCGCTTATGCACGCCCCCTACAGACCTCTTAGGAAAGGGGTGAGGTCAATAGTAGACAGTCTAAGGTTAAAGTTTTTGGGGTTTGGGGAAGAAACCACAGAGTCAGGTAGAGTATTCCAGACATTGACCACTCTGTTGCTGAAGTCGTATTTCCTGCAATCAAGTTTGGTGCGGTTAACCTTGAGTTTGTATCTATTGTGTGCTCTTGTATTGTTATGGTTGAAGATGAAGTATTCATTGACAGGTAGGACATTGCAATATATAATTTTATGTACTATACTTAGATCGAACCGAAGGCAGCGTGGTTCTAGGTTGTCTAGGTCTAAAATTTCAAGTCTGGTGGCATAAGGAGTGGAGGAGTCTTCTTGCAAAATATTTCTGGACTTTCTCAATTGCATTAATATCAGATATGTAATGCGGGTTCCAGACTGATGAGCTGTATTCGAGTATTGGTCTAGCAAATGTTTTGTATGCTCTAGTTAGTAGAGTGATATTACCGGAGAAAAAGCTACGCAGGATTAGGTTAGATTTATCAAATTTAACAAAGCCAGAAATGATCAGAGGGCTGGAGGCTAAAATATATGAAGAACGGTTGTGTACAAGAGTTGGGTATCTCTAGTTTAATGAAAAGAGGATCTAGGGGAGACATGATAGCACTGGTCTAATATTTGAGGGGCTCCTACAAAAGAGGGGGTCAAACTGTTTTCCAAAGCACCAAAAGAGACGAGAAAACAATGGATGGAAACTAACCAAGGAGAGAAACAACCTAGAACTAAGGAGTAATTTCCTAACGGTGAGAGAAATCAACCAATGGAACAACTTGACTTCAGAGGTTGTGGAGGCTCCATCACAAGAGACTTTCAAAAAGAGACAGGGCAATCATTTATCAGAAATGGTGCAGGGTCTCCGGCTCGGGCAGGGGGTTGGACTAGAAGACCTCCAAGGTTCCTTCCAACTCTATTTTTATTCTATGTGTCTATAGAGCTTTTCAGTCCTCCAGATCATGGTTGTCTCACAGGTGCTTTTTTCAAGAGGCAACTGGATTTTCTGGGTTTTCTTGGAAGACGTTTTGCTTCTCATCCAAGAAACTTCTTCAGTACTTTTTACAATCTTAATCCAGAATCAATTGATCAACCAACCAACCACTTATTGTATTTATTTATTTTGCTCTAGTTTTGTCGCTTCTGATTTTTAAAAACTTGCTCATTGAATGAATAAATATTGATTGATTGACCTTAGTCCAGAAAGAAATGTAAAAGGATTTAATATGATCTTTTCCTTCTGTCTAATTTAACCATCAAGCCAAACCTCAAATCCACCAAGTGGAAAGAAAAAGATCTTTGTACATCAAACAATTCTTCTTCTTCTTCTTCTTCTTCTTCTTCTTCTTCTTCTTCTTCTTCTTCTTCTTCTTCTTCCTCCTCCTCCTCCTCCTCCTCCTCCTCCTCCTCCTCCTCCTCCTCCTCCTCTTCCCCCTCCTCCTCCTCCTCCATTCCTCCTCCTCCTTTTCCAAAAAACCAGAAAGTCCAGTTGCCTCTTGAAAAAGTCCCCCACCTTTAGGATTCTATTCTAAGCCATCTGCTGTGGCTTCTAACTTCTTCTCAAAGATGAATTCTCTTTTATGTTGTTCATTCCTCTGCTGGCTCTTTCCTGGAGGTTGAGTTTGGATGCTTTGAGGTGAAACCCAGAAACAGGAAGATGTTACTTTGGCCCTCAAACCACGAAATTGCTCCCAGGCTCAAAGGACTCCCACCATGCCAGACCATGTGCCTGCTTTGGAGCCTTCTGTTCCAAAAAAATTGGGCAGAGCGTGAAATGGTTGCAGAGAAGTCCAGCAGGCCTTGTGGAAACCACATGGCTGCACAATGCAATCCTTTTTAAAAAAAATCTGGCACAAAGAAGTCCTATCGCTATGCAATTTTCGTTAGTTTTAAAATGAAAAAAAGAAGTTCTGGAAATGACTCCTTTTTTGCATGATTCATCTATTTCCTCCGCCTCCAAACAGATCTTCAGCCCAGATTCTCTTACCAGCTTTAAGATTGTGCCCTATTCTAACCAACATTCCCCAGTTCTGGTTTTAAAGTCCACACATCTTAGGAAGCTATTGTCCCAAGCTATAAGAGAGTCAGTTTGGTCCAGTGATTAAGACGCCAGGAGACAGTGAGTTCTAGTCCCACCTTAGCCATGAATGACAGCTGGGTGACTTTGGGCCAATCACCAAGATAACATGAGTCCTAGTTCCACCTTAGCTATGATTGCCAGCTTGAGGCAATCACCAGGAAAATGTAAGTTCTAGTCCCACCTTAGTAATGAAAGCCAGGTTAGTGACTTTAGACTAGTCCCTTTCTTTCAGCCCTCACAGGGTTGTTGTTGGGTGGAAAACAGAAGGAGGAAGTTGTGTTTGTGTTTTATTTGCAAAACTATTAAAGATGGGATATACTGTAAACAAATCACTGTGGTTTACAAATAAGAGTTGAGGTTCTCCTGTTGCATTAAGGCATACTCTACAATATACACTGTGGCCTTTGGACAACCAATAAATCCAACTGGTTTCACACCTGATGGATGAGTGACAGATCAAAGCTGTGAACTGTATCTCTTACTATTATTATTCGCCATGGGGGAATAGGTGACAATGTAACAATTCAATAAATAAATAAATAAAAACATCTGTCACGGATAAAAGCCGATTCCTGTTACGATATGCACAACGGCTCATTTCATACCCAACCAAATGGCCCCAAAAGTTGCACAAGAACCACAAGAACATGTCAGCGAGGAAGTGAACGTCAGCAAAAGCAGTTGGAATGGATGTTCAACCATCAATCAAAGTGACTTGGAGCTTTATAATCAGATGGAATTAGTTACATGACAGCATCACATCCCCTGAAGACTTGGTTGCATTAATCACTGGCCACATTTGATGCGTTGAGGTTTGGCTTAACAAACTAATATAGGAACACAGCCAAACCATGACTGTCTTCCTTCTCCTTTTCCACCAGCAGAGAAATCAACCCCCAAGCCCTTGCTGCTATGGAGGCCTAACATTAAAATCATGGCTAATAATGGCCAAGCAAACCAGGATACCCTACCTAACTTTAATTCACTTTAGAATAGAATAGAATAGAATAGAATAGAATAGAATAGAATAATGAAGAATGAATAGAATAGAATAAGGAATAGGATAGAATAGAATAAGAAATGAATAAAATAATAGAATAGAATAAGAAATGAATAAAATAATAGAATAGAATAAGAAATGAATAGAATAGAATAGAATAGAATAGAATAGAATAGAATAGAATAGAATAGAATAGAATAAGAACAGGAGTAGAGTAGAGTAGAGTACAATAGAATAGAATAGAACAGTTGGAAGGGACCTTGGAGGTCTTCTAGTCCAACCCCCTGCTCAAGCATATCTTTGTTTCCAAAATGAATTATACCCAGTTGCCATTAAATATATTTATTTTTTTATTCATCCATTCTTCAGAAATATCCCATACCTTATAGACTTGTCCATATGTCCCATTCCCAACGACTTGCACTAGTTCAAATATTCCAGCTGGATCCTAGAAAGAATTAAATTAAAGGAAGTTAGTGTGCTTCTTGGAAAGATTAACTTCTTGGCTGAGCTTTGCAGACTGCGTCCAACTTTTATGTGGTTTCTTTGGCTTTGCATCTTGGGGTTGATGAACCGTAGTTGATGGTTATGCGCAGTCAACAAACTTAACTATATCCCCTCTCTCTTGGTGCCTTGTGGGTCGTACGCTTTAATTTTAAAAAAAGTATTTCAATCTTTAGTAACGACTGTTTTATGGATTTGTGGTTTTCTTTGATGGCTGTGTACTGCCCAGAGTCGCTCCTTGTGAAATAGGAGGCCGTATCAATTTGATATGTAAACTCTTAAATCATTTCCAGGGAAGGCAACATGGGTAAATTGCGGTCTTTGTAGGATCTTCAACACAGTCCATGAAACAATGAGGATAAAATCCCCCCTGGTCCATTAAAAAAGGTAGATAGTTACACACACACACACACACACACACACACACACACCTAAAATAGAATTCACCTGCAGGAAAGGAACACTTGGGATTTTAATGTTTCAATGTTGGAAACTGCCCAGAATTCTTCACTAAAAGATGAGCAGCAAATAAATTCAATAAGAATTTAAGAGCCGTGGTAGCGCTGGGGTTGGAAGGAATTACAGCGGGCTAAACTCTGCCCACTGCCAGCAGTTCGATCCTGACCAGCTCAAGGTTGACTCAGCCTTCCATCCTTCCGTGGTGAGTAAAATGAGGACCCAGATCGTTGGGGGCAACAGGCTGACTCTGTAAACCACTTAGAGAGGGCTGTAAAACACAGTGAAGCAGTATTTAAGTCTAAGTGTTAGTTCTAAGTGCGAAGGAAGGAAGGAAGGAAGGAAGGAAGGAAGGAAGGAAGGAAGGAAGGAAGGAAGGAAGGAT